CTACTCCTTACGGGCAAAGAAAAATGTGTTTTAAATTTTAACAAAATAACTAAAATTATTATTTTTTAATTAAATGTCGAAATTACATTTTTAACTACAAAATAATTTGAGAATTTCCTTAATTTTGCCAACATTTGAATTTCAGAGTTCAGACAAAACAACTTATGTGGAATTTTATATTAAAACTTCAAGCTAAGTACATTCAACATTGTCACATGGCAATAGGTACAGTCATAAGTACAGATTACCCATGTCAAAGGGTGACACGGACGAGTAGGTAATTGTTTTATTCCTTGTTATTTTCATCTTGCAACTGGGTATCAAATTATATGAAAATAATAATGATAATATGAAACTTAACTAAATAGGTACCTATAAGTCGATATATTCCACTACATAATATATTAGGTACCTAGGTATCGACGCAAATTAAAAATATTCATAAGTCAATCAATGATATACATTATACATATTTTTCTATAACAACTTACAGGTGGCTACTTTTTCTATACGTACCTACCTAATAGGTACCTACTATGCCTACCTTGCTAACTATTAATATTTATTTAATAAATGCCTAAATAAGGTATAATGTACAGTAAAATACAAAATATGTATTATTTAATGAACACCTGTATGATCTAGCATAGATTATAAAAACACATATCATACAAATAACAACTTATTACTTACAAGTTGAAATGATATCATGCATTTCAATACATTAGACAAATAAACAAATCAACAGTGTGAGAGTTATTGCAAGAGGCCAATGACCTTTTAACAGATATAAAGTAACTAGCCATAAGCCCATAAAGATGCTAAAAATTGATGTTCACGAAATAAATATTTTTATGGGGGGGGGAAGGTATATCATCACACTCAACCATCTATAGTATTTGTATGCCATTGCACCCAGTAGCGTACGCAGGATTTTAGTTTGGTTAGGGTTTTTATGAGTAAATAATTTACATTATTTTTTTGCTAAACCATTTTTATATTAAAATTGGTTATCATAAATTATAGTTAGTCTATATTTAGAACACTCAAGTGTTTAATCTAGTCATCTATAGAGCCTCTTCGGGTCCGGCCGGTCCGGGGTCGTAATAAACGTGGTAATAATCGATGGACGATGATACGATGATACACCATACGACGATTATGGCAGACGTTTAGCAATGTTCTAAATTAGAAAAAGAAAAAACTGAAACTATGATTACCGACGTCTTTGTTGATTGTCATATCTAACAATTCATTTTATATTTATTAAAAATGACTTACAATTGATCAACTCTGTATATTGAAATGGTGGTAAATAAGGTTTTTTTTTATAAAAGGAAGACATTTCAGGGGGTGTCAGAACCCTACCCCTGCGTACGCCACTGATTGCACCCAACTACAATAATTGCAATGTGCACTTCAATTTTTTCAATGTCATGACAATTTTTAATTTTACATTCAATCTTATAGTAGAATACTTTTCTAAAATTGATGTTATATAAATTTATCATTTAGCATAGTAATAACTTATACTTTATAGTATAATAAAAATACTTACAGCCATTATAAAATGTACAACAATAAAATAAATGCAATTTTTTTATTTATAAACAATGATATATTACATATTTTATAAAATTAAAATCAAAAACTATTCAATAATATATATAACATAACTCATAAAGATGTAGGCATACAAGTTAAAACCGTAAAAATATAAATATTATATATAAGTGTAATAATTATAATGTTTATTATATATCTTGAAAATATTTTATTTTTAAAATTACCCCTTAGCACAGAGGACTTGAGGACTTGATGATACATATGAATTATGAATATAGTATTTAAGTATGAGACAACATATTCATATTGATTCATTTAAAATACTAGATTATTTATGTTGAAAATCACATCAGTTCATAGTTGAAAATACAGCATTATAATTATTATAAACAAATTGGATACCTACTGGCTACAAATAATGAATACAATTCATTTTACACTAAAATTATAAATTTCAAATATCCGTTTATTTATTTAAATTTGAAAAGTAGAATTTTTCAAAAATTAAATCAATATTGTTAAAATAAGACTGAAACTATAAAACGTATAAACTACAAAATATTCAATTACATTTAATAGAGATAATATCTAAGTATCACTCTATTTAAACATTAAAAAAAAAAAACAAATTATAAAATATAAAATAATTGGTAGAATACATGTTTTTTATTTTATTAAATTAAAACCAAGTATAAAAAGTAATTTTGAAAATTATTTGTTTTTCAGCGTTTTAAAATGTAGTATTTATTCTTCTCAAATACCAATAACCTGCAAAAAAAAAAAAAATTATTATTTTAGAACATTTTACGTAATAACCACTATTGTAATTAATAATATTTTGTTATATTGTGTCAAAAATATTAATGATATTAATGAAACTATGAAAGTATATATAATACAAATAACAATTATTTTATTCAAGTTTTTAATGTTTTTTTAAAAATATTATTCAATTTAGGGCCGTTGTCACAAGGGCTGGTTAAAGTTAGACACTTAACCGGCCGAATTCTGCTGGTAATAAAATCTGTTATCAGTCAGTTAGCGTTAACCGAAATTTTACCGGACATTGTAATAATGGCCCTTAACCTATTAAGTTGAATTTTAAGACCTAAAAATTGTGTAAAACAAACAATATTAATTCTTAAGGCATCAAATATTATTATTACTGTGATAATTTTTATAATCTGTTTAAAGTTGATTGAAACGGACACACATAAATGTCTGAATCAAAAAAGTACCCCAGTGGAGCAGATAAGACAAAAAAGAAGGAAAATATGAACAGTTTTGGTTTAAACTTTCCAAAAATTGCAAGATTTTTGTCAAACATTTTTGTAATACATGCATAAATATTTAAAAAAATATTGAAGTGTGACAAATATAACTCTATTAATCCAACAATTATTTCAATCAATTTTAAAATTAAGAAATTTATTTATTTTTATTATATCAGTAATTGACCAATTAGTAAAAATACATTTATTTTATTTTATATTTGTTATTAATTTATAATGCAGCAAATATATTATAATACTTATACAGGGATAAGATACATATGAATTATTATTGCTGCAGCCTGAAGATAGATATTTTAAGTGTTTTTCCAATTTTAGTATTCTAATATTATAATGATTTAAAAGGCTGCTACGTGTGCATGTGTTGTCTCCATCTTACAAACTACAACACAGCAAATTGTTGTTCACAAGAATCCATCCTGTGTTCTTTTCTTTCTTTTAAGTGAATTAGCCTTTAGTATTATCAAATTTAAAAGTTAGAATATTATCTTGAGCATCGTCTGGACTTTTATTAATATTTTAATATAACATAACTATGTAAAATATTTAAATGTTACAATTTTAAAATGCTCATAACTCACCTTAAAATGTAAATATCAAATAAAAGCTAACATCATACTTTAGGTAATATTCTTACCTTTACATTAGAGTATAAGTAAATTCAATGCTATAATTAAAATAATAAGACAATAATAAGTGGATTTTTATTAACATACATTTACTTATGATGTGTAAGACAGAGACTTCACGTGGCAGGTGTAACATCCTCTTGATAAAAATATAAGACCTTTCCTCAAATATAGATTTATACATTTAAAAAGATAATTAGCACAATATTTGAAATACAACAAAAATTATTTATCTGATATGAATCAATTTTTATTAGTTAACTACTAAAACACCTTATATCCCCGCAGTGGCCGCCTGTTAGTTACCAGTACATAAATTATATAATATGGAATTATAATTTATTGCATTGTATTAAAATATGTTTAGAAACTGGAATTTAGCATGCTTGCAGAGTGAGCTTTCCTAACTTGTTTATTAATTCTTTTACATTTGGTAATGTTTGTAAAATTAAAATAATATTTCTTAGACAATACCTACAATATTCTCAACATTTCTCAAAATATATTTACTTACAAATACAATGATTGACAATTGTATTGTATGTTAAAAGCGTAATGAGATATAATTTAAGTAAATAATTAATGATACATTGGATGTGTTCAATTTGTTATTAACAATTGTAACATGGCAGATAGTATGACATTATTCTGATAATATATAATATATTATTAACTAACAAATAACAGTTAGATAACTGTTATGGCAATAAAATATTGACCATTACATTAAATGTATATGCAAGTTTCTGAAATTATTATATGCATATTACCAATTTAAGAAATTAACATGACTGGGCAAGTTAATCAATTTTTTTGATTCAGTTAAGTTAATATGCATAAATTACAAAAAGTTAGAAGTTAAAAGTTAATTCAATTTTTTTATACTATAATGCTAGTATACTTTATTTTTTTACCAATCCAAAACTAAATTATTGACTATATTAGTGTTTATACAGTATTTCCATATAGTATTTATTTCATTAAAGTTTTACGTTTCTAAAAAAAATAATAATAGTTATCTATCTAATAAGTTAGATTAAAAAAATATACAATTTTTTACTTGTTACTTTTATGGCATGAAAACAAAATTGTTTGAAAGGTGAAATGTAATTAAATTAAATACAAATTCAACTTACTTCTTAAAATTAAAAATTAAAATGTTAATTTCACGTTAATTAAAATTAAATGTAGTAAGTTAATGAAAATCCAAGAGTAATTAGTTAAGTTAAAAAGTTAAAATTAAATTAACTTTAACTTTTTAACTCATTAATGCCTGCCTTGGAAATTAATTAATTTAATTTACTAAATACTATCAATACAATATAAGTGAGAAATAGGTAGCTTTTAGGAACAAATAAATATATAGGTATTTCTGCTCATAAGCACTTATGATAGGTACATTATAATATGTATGTTACAAATTCAACTCATAGCTATGAAAAAAAGTTAATTGAAATATTTACCTTATTTATAGGTGTATACAATATATATTGATGGTGGTACAATATAATATTTATGCAACATAATTGTAAGTATTTCGGTCTTCTGGTGTACGTGCTAAATACTCTCTTTCGATTAAGCATTCAATACGCTTCTTAATAAGAACGGGTGAAGGCATAAACCTCGATCTTAATTGTTCAGTTACCTCCATAATAAGTGTATTGTGTGTTAACTTTTTACGAGCTTTCATAATGCGTACGAGTGCTGCTTCTATTTCATGTTTTCGATCTTCTTCAACTTTGTCTTTAGTCTTCCTCCGCTCTGGCTCATTTTCTCCTTTGGTAGTGATTGACTGGATTTTAACACGATACAATTTTGAAGTATAAGACTCGTTGATAGAAAACTCGTGATGAGGCTCGATCTCTTTTGTTTTGGGACTTTTCAACAACACCCTTTGTGATGGTTTTCCCATTGCCAAAGATTGTAATGCCCTAGTCAAGTCTTTTTCATTTATGTCGGTTTCATTCATTATCATTTCCATCGTCATCTTTTCATAACTATTAAACAGCATCAATATTGCCATTTGATAAGTTGACACTTGGAAAATATGCTTACGTGTAGACGAATTAGCATTGTTCACACTGGTACCAGAGTTAGAAGATGTAGAAACAACAGTACTACCACTTCCATTTGAACTTATTACAGACGTTGCACTATTCTCTCTACGGTTGTCATTGAAAATAGCAGTTAAGTCTGCAGAACCTAATTGTGGCTGAAGACGAAGTTGTCTACCATTATGTTTACCCAAATAAAAAGTTCTGAATTCTTCATATGCCAAACGCGCTATGCTTGGTACATTACACTTCGGAGTAGTTGTTGGTAATGGCCAAAATCCAGTAGTTAGAACACGAACTGATAAATCAATATTGTTGCAATTGGATGCTGGCGAATTGGACAGGTACAGTTTGAATGATTCCATAATGGTGTTTGACAAAGACATGTCTTTAAACATACCTTCTAGTTTGGAAGTAAATTGACATCCACATTCAGTTTTTAATTTTGAGATCATATTTTTCTCATTATCATCACTCACAGATTTGTTCAACAACAATCTTTTAGCTAAATGTTGTTTGTAGTATGTTTCAAAAACGTCCTTGTCCTGTAAAAATCGGAACAAGACCATGGCTTTGTCTAGCACAGGTTCTAGATCATTTTCATCAATACCGCGGACTCCTTTTTTCAATTTGTCATCAATAAATAATGACATATATTCAGGAGACTTTGGGTTAAGATTTAGAAAATGTTCAAAGTCCGAAGATATTGTTTGTTTAAACATTTTATCACTTGCAAATGAATTATACAAAAAATAATCCAATTTGTCTTTGAGATCTAATAAGCTTTGTACATATGTGACGGGATTTAAATCAGTCTCATCTTCTTTGACTAATGATCGGCCTTCTTCTCGTAAATACTTACTTAAGCAATCGGACATGGTTTTTAAACCGTCAGACAAATTGCTCAGTAGCTTATACATACAAGCCAGATCTTTTGTTCTCTGATTCTTTAACATGAAAACAAATCCAGAGTTTTCCATTTCGACAATAGTCTTCATATGCTTTTTAATTAGCTCTTCTTCAACTACTTGAATTACACGACTTTCTGTAGAAACATCTAGGTAATTTTTAGCTCGTTCAGCTTCTTCATTTATCCGAGATTCAGCTTTTTTAATATAAATGGAAGCACTGTTTTCAGCCAAAAGCATTTGACTTTCAACATTGTAAAATTCACTAGACTGAGCAAGGAACGGGCGTTCAAAATCTTCTTGATAAACTAATCTATTTTGTATACCTAATATCATAAGCATTTGACAGGCGTTCTTTAATGCGATACGGTCTATCACTTCACCGTTCCTTTCTTTCATCACCATGCTCAACAATGTCTCACGTAAGTGATCTCGTACGCGGTCATGCCGCACAATTATGTCACGAAAAAGTACGAGTCCGAGATTATAAACACTGTCAACTTCGTTATTCTTCACATACACCTTGTCCATGTACATGAGGATGTCTCTAATCATGACCATTGATGTTTGATGGTCCCTCCAACACTCGTCCAGGGTTTGCAGGAAGTTGTTGTTTAATGCAGTGAGTACGTCTTCGCGCACCTTCATCTCCAAGTGGGTAGACACCGTGTCCCTCATGCCGTTGTATAAGCGTTCACCGTGCTTCAACAGTATCATTGTGTATGCGTTGCGGTACAGCTCTTCGAAGCTCAAGCACGAGTTGTTTTTTTTGTGTATTTCCTGTATGGCATTTTTCAGCATCGCCCAGGTGTTGTCGACAAACTTCTCGTCAGTGCGAGACGGGAACGCCTTGACACGCATGTTGCCCCTCTTCTTTGGCACAGTACTGTTCATGATACTCGTGCGTCTCCTTCCCAGTGGATCACTACTCATAGTTGGCACGCAGTCACCATCAGTGCACGACGGTCGTCTGTCAAATGAAAATGGTCGAATGTATAAAATAACATGTCACACCAGTCGCGACACAAATTAATGATCTAGCAGTACTTGATGGTGGTCTTGGGATATCCGTCGAGTGGGACTAAGAGGGGGTGAGGGGGAGGGGTGAAAAAAATGGGAGACCGTAAAAAATACCCGTATGTACGAGACTCCGTTCTTCCTCTTCCGTTCGAACGACTGGCGAATATCAACTATTATTTCCGGACTACAGTCGTCGAAATCTGATTGAGGTGATTGTTATGCCGTCACCGCGGTGGACTTTGCTAGTACGTTGTCACTTGTCTGAATGATCCCGCGGGGCCAACGATAAACTAAAACTGATGCGGCAACATAGAGCAGCTCGCTCAATTTCGGATAATCGGACACTTTCACACGAAATAAAACAGTGATCAGACGAAAAAAAAAATCTCAACTCCTTGAAATCATTCGAGTATTTGACGATGTTTCAAAACATAAGAACTAAGAACACACTACTATCAGTATAATACTGTACACATATATAATTAGTCCATTTAGAATATCGTAGTATTGTACAGTCGTCTACAGTGGTGGCGAAAATAATATTATATTGTGTATACCTACTATCTGTATAAAATATAAAATAATGTATAATACATAATTTTAATGTCATTTCAGACACGATTTTTTCGTTGTTCGTTAGGTTATGTTGGTTATCACAGGTCTCTTTTTTTTGTTCCATGAAAACTGTGGCTAAATAGTAAATTCGAATATTTTGACATTGTCTACCGAGTACTGACTGATCGGCACCGAACCGTCTACCTGAGACCCGAGTACTCACTACAACTGACTGCTGAACGCCCACTGCTCCTATAGTGTTCAAGTGTTGCGAATGCCACTAAGGCCTAAGCCACTAGACTGGGACTTAGCAGTTTGCACCCTACAACAAACAGCTAAAAATGGCGTCCCCGATAACCCAACTGCAATATCTACATTCTATACATAGGGCCTGTGAAGGTATAAAGTATAGTACATAAGTCCATTGGTGGCAATTTAGGGACAAGGTTTTGAGGGGTGGGGCTGGTGCATAGGCATATCTTGATCAATTTATGTATGGAGGCTACAGCCTATTATGTTTCTGGTAAACAACACATATTCTAAAAATTTAACTAGAATAAATTTACTTAAGGGGGAGGGGGCTAAACAAAACTCAAAGGGGGCTATAGCTCCCTTAGACCCTCTCCCATTCTACACCTATAAGCTGGTGAAGGCTTAACACCCACAAATAATATATAAATCTTTCATAAATGTCTTATATAATAAATATTTAAAATATCAGAACATTATTTATAAATTAGTAATGGTCTATAGCCCCCGATCCCATCATAGAAATAAATACCTTTTTTTTTATCAAAGTATTCTACCTAAAAGTCCAACGAAAAAAGTCTGATGGAATAAAACAATAAAACCTCGTTAAAAATCCAATATATACATATTTGAAATTAACAATATACAATGATTTAAAATAAAAATAAATTGATTAATTTAATAATTATTTAGAACACACATGATTGCTCAATTAAAATAAGTACCTATATATAGAATAGATCTTTAAGAAAATGGGGAAGTTATTATTTAAAATAATTAAATGTTGCACAATCATATTATTATGTGAGGTGGTAATTAAAAAAATCACATTTTTTTAGTTAATTAAATATTTTTTTTCATTTTAACTTAATCTTTTAAAGTAAATATATTATTTGTTAACCACGAGGCATGAAGTTATAATTTAACATAATATTCTTAATGTTGATACCTAATTTGTCTTCATTAACTCTTAAACCACTGCGTAAAATGTTATTATCTTTTGTTCAGGGGCGTACTCAGGAATTTTCAATGGGGGGGGGGGGGGGTTGAACATTTTGTTTTTTATCACGGGGACTTTGCCACCTCCTTTTTAAAAATATTAAATATAAACATGGTAATGTACTCTACAGAAAATAAATTTCAAAAATGAAAAATGTTTATTTAAAGAACAATATTCCGATTCCGATTGATTAACGTGTTCATGTTTTCTTTTAAGATTATTGTAGGGTTCAATGTACTTAGAACTTCCAGGCACACTAGTAAAAAATGTTATTATTTTATTTTTATTTTTATTTTTTGACTTTAAGCGTTTATGGAAAAAGAATAAATACTTAAATTTTAATACTATCATTAATATTTTTCAAAAGTATATTAAATTACTATACATTTTAATAATTAATCTGTGTGAAATAGTACAAGTAATTTTAGTATATACCTAATTTAGAAAAAACAAAGGTTGGTTGCTCAATACACAGTCAAATATTAACCAAATATATCATAACGCATTATGTCAAAACAAGAATTATATTCACTTACAAAAGAAAAAAATGAGCAAGGTGCTAAAAACAAGAAAACACCAAAAAAACTAAACAATTTTTCAAAATTAGTTTGAAGTTTATAAGATAACTATTATTGAATAATATTATAATATAAATAATATACCTAATCATAAAATAAAATATGCAAAATATTTTAAACATGTTTTTAGTTTTTTATGAGCACTAGAAAATAATACTCCACTCTACCAGACTACTATTAGAATTAGGAGTAGAATCATAATAGTTTTAATTTAATTTAAAGATTTTAAGAAGGATGCAAATATCCAAAGAAGTGACTAAATTATACATAATATTTTTTTCTAATTGATGTCTACTCGATAAAAATATTGCTAATGAATAAAATGCAAATGTAATGTATAATAACAGCCAACAGGCTCCAAATTTATTATACCAACTCAATTAAAAAAAAAAACTTTTTATGATTCAATGTTTTTGTAAATACTGACTTCAATTTTAAAAAATATTAGCATTTTAATTTTGAAGTTTTAAAACATTTTGCATTTAACAGAATGAATATATAGGCCTTCGTAGGACAAGAAGCGCGCTCTGGTGACTATAGAACTGTGTTAATATTTTCAATCAAGAGTGTATACGTATAGGGGTCCAGAGTGACGACAACTTATCAATACACCTTGTATGTTTGATTTAAATTTTATCTGGTTATCATAATACAGTTCTTAACAGATAATGCTTGTAATCGTTGTATAATGCATGTTGATATAAAATTGAAAATAAATATTATATTTGTTTATTTTTTCCCTTCTTAAAAATTTTTTTTTAGAAAATTGCTCCTGTGAATTATACTATGTATAAACAAGAACGCACAAAAGTGCATCGGTTAGTAAGGTCATGGGAGGGGTTCAAATTTTTTTTTTAAACTTTCAATCCTTAGCTAAAAAAACTGAACATTTTATAATTTATTAATTATGATAATTGATAATTTTCGAGATTTTGATAAATTTTGTCAAAATGCGATCTTTAAATGCTTATAAAAAAAAAATTGTGCCTATGTATTTTTAATATTTTTCAATTGCTATTGTAACAATATATCAGGAGCCTTGTATTAATTTTTTACACTTTTTGGACCAACAGATAAAACTTTATTGATATTTATAGAAAAAAAAAAAAACTAAAAAATTGAAAACTGAAAATGTCCGAAACAGCTCAAAAAGAGTCAAAATATTTTCAAAATTGTATAGTGTATAGGAAATGCTAATATAAACATTCAGTGAATTACAACAAAATAAGAAAATCGCCACATGAGAAATCGAGTGAATATCCAATGTTGTAAAAATTTGAATTTCAAACGCTCATAAAAATTTAATTTGACTTTCTTATAGAATTTTTTTTTTTTGATAAATGTAGGAAATGTTATAAGGAATCTTGTATTACATTTTCATATCTTAGATTTAAAAAGAAAAATTTTTATGAATTTCTAACTCGAAATAATTTGAAAATTTTCGTGATTTTTCCATATTTTGTCATTTTTTGAACTTTAAATGCTTAAAAAAAAAACTGTGACTAACGATTTTTAATATTTTTCATCTGTCTTTGAAACAATATAGTTGGAGCCTTGTATTAAATTTTCAAGTATTTTTACTCAACAAATAAATTTTTATTGATATTCATAAAAAAAAAAAGGTGGGAAAGTGGCGGTGCATCCGAATTGCATGCCAAAAAAATAAATATAAATCGGGTCGTCCGAATTGCATGCCGTCTCTTGGAGGGGTCTGTCCGAATTGCATGCCGTCTCTTGAAGGGGTCTGTCCGAATTGCATGTCGTCTCTTGGAGGGGTCTGTCCGAATTGCATGTCGTCTCTTGGAGGGGTCTGTCCAAATTGCATGCCATCTCTTAGAGGGGTATATCGGAATAAATAACTTACTTTTCAACTGGAGGATCGGGATTTTGTTACATTACAATAAAACATATAAATATTGTAGAAAGTGACACTGTGAATATGAATCATAAAATAAAACTATTTTTTTTTCATCAACAACAAAGGCCATTAGTTAAATAAAACTATTGTAGTTTAGGGTAATCAAGTGAGTGTATTTTAAATAATATTATTTTTAAATTTGGTGGTTTTTTTTTGACATTTCGGACACACAATATTACAATTTAAATAAACAAAATAATATATAATAATAAAATATGTCAATATATAAATTTACATTTGACAGCTACAAACACTTAAGTGACCGATACGTATGTCTATGTGTGTGAATCAGACCGAGGCCCCAATACACTACATTACTCCAATATAGATACTGTTTGGGAAAATATTTACACAGATATAAAAATATTTCAATCCAGAAACTAATCACTAAACAGTTGTAACAATCATACATAAAAGAGCGTTTCTATACATGCATTTTTTTTTAAAAATTTAGGAAAGTCCAAAAAAAAGTTTAAGTTGTTTAAGTGCATAGTAAATAAACGTGTGGGGTACGGCATGCAATCCGGACAAAGCCCTCTAAGAGATGGCATGCAATTCGGACAGACCCCTCCAAGAGATGGCATGCAATTTGGACAGACCTCTCCAAGAGATG